TGAAAGCCAATTTCTCCTTGAATATTACACCCAAAGAGCCAAAAATTTCACCACTTACTAAGTTTCACAAGCTCTTTAAGTTTTTGTAGTAAAATCGTGCCTAGCATGATGCCTTCTATGCGCAAAGTCGTATGTTAATGAGGACAAATGTAAACAATGACGTCAGCAAAGATTCGCCTATATCACCAACCTTCTTCAAAAGTGATAATTATGCGTGAAGAATTGCTTGATCATACCTTGATTAAAGTTCGCTTGGTGAGTTTTTGATTCACTTCTGGCCTGTTAAGGATGTTCTTGGCTCTGTGTGCATAGTCCAATGTGCTAAGGGTTTCCTAGGCCATGAAAGTATAACTTCAAAACATGTATCACTAATATATAATAATGACATTATTAATAAAAGCATTGATTTTTGAAGACTGTACTGTTTCAAGGAGTTGTGGTCATGTGATGTGATATTTCTAGATAGGGCCGCACGTGCCTATTTAGCAACATCTCCAACTTGTTAATATCATTATAATTTAGTTTACTTAGCTCTTGAGTAAGTTAGTTAGCTGAGCTAAGTTAGCTCCACAGAAGGTTGTAAGTCAAACTAAAACTAATTGTTAATTAAAATGGTACTTAAAGTTAAAANTCTTCTTTGCTTTGAAAAGCCTCAAATAAGCAGATATTATATTTTACTTCATAGGCACTTTAAGCTTACTATGAGTCATGCCGCAATTTCTGTCTTTAAATTAGAAGCTGGGCTAACCATGTTTTATAATGGTAATCTTTAACTTACCTCCAAGTTGCAAAGAGCTGGTGATATGGTAGCAATTATGGACGTTTTTGTGCGACCACCAAGAGAATCTTGTAGCAGCCTTGTTAATTTGCTTTCTCTGTTGAAAACAGCAAGTATTCTTCATGACACATTCATTTGCCAACACTTATCATAGATTGAAATCTTTTAACAAAGAAATCTGTGGTACACATTCCAAGCCATGTAAAAATCTCTGAATTGAGCCCTGTAATATTGTTGCATACAGTCTGACAACTAAAAACTGAGATGTGTGTATTTAGGTACAGTAGCACACTGATTCCCAGCCTAAGAGCAACTAAAAGGTAAGACCTGAGCTAAAAATTGACACTCTTTTGAGTGAGACATTACAGATTGGTGTTTCTGATTGGCTAAATGACACCAAAATTTTGCCATCAATCAATTATAGATACTGCCTTGGACAGCATGCAAAGACGATCTGTAGTGATGTTTGATGGCCCACTGAAGTCCAGTGGATTTTGCAGTCAGACTCCAGTGGACTCTTCCCTTCACTTTCCCGAAAGGCAAATGAAGTTTTTTGGAATAAAATGAGATGAAGTTTCCACGTACCAATTTAATTTTAAATAATTGGTCATCCTACTAGTAAGAAGTTCTTTGATGCTAGTGAGACTGTTACATGTACAGCTTGCACAAAGTGTAAGCTTGAAAGTTTTTTAATCACTGCATCTTGTTTGGATCTTTGTAGTGTACAGTCATTCTCAAACTGTTCAAAGTTAAATTGCTAATCAAAATTATGTTTGTCCATAAATCTCTTATTATAATTTACTTCAATTAAAATATACTTGCTCATTGTATTTCATTTATTTTTATGTCATGACGTGTACCTGTAAGGAATGTGTGGGGCTCTTTCCACCAGTGATGTAATCACCCTTCCTAGTGTTAACAAGCTCTGATTAATTGTGCCTGAAAGAAAGGGAAAAGGAATATAAAATTTGATTGTTACATTACATAACTAGGAAACCTGTAAGTTCCATTTATAAACAATACCCCCTCTTCTTGTTAGGATATTCTCAGAGCAAATTTGGCAATGGCCAAATCTACCATGATATTATATTCTGTTGAAAAATGTATTATTAATGGGAAATGATCAACAGTGGTAAGCTGATGGTCTTAATTATCAATAACAGACAAACCTGTATATAACGGCCCTGTATATAGTGGTCACCCTGTGTATAATGGTCACTGAACAACTTCCCAAAAATCGTCCCTTATATTTACTGTTAAGTTGACCTGCATATAGCGGTCACCTGCATATAACGGACGCGGTCACCCTTTAGACTTCCTGAATCCACAATTTCATTATCTTTAACCTGTATATAATGGTCACGAAATTGGGTTACGATTAACGAATAATGACAAGCTTTATTCATGAGCTCGTTAAATAGCAGCCACCAAGGCAGGGGTCTCACAAAAATACAAATATTTGTACTAAACACAACTACTAATACATGTCATCGCCTACTTCCGACACATATGCTTGTGGCAGATAACATTAAAGTGCTGTCGCTTTCAAACAACAGTTACTGTAACTGTAACACAATCGTACCACACTGTTTTCACTTTCGTCATAGTTCCCTAATTATATCACTGTNCCATTCATAGATGGGGAACATGCAGTAAGACAGCAATGTTCAATCTTTTTTAGCCTAAACTTGTGCACAATGAAGTATATTTTACAGCGTCCAGCAGCCCATTTTTGATCAGGTCTTTCAGCAGAAATGTCAGGCTAAGGTCAACTTTGTAACAGAATGCATGACACAAACCGGCTTGCTTCTTTTCGATTGCAAATAATTATTACCTATCATCATAAAGTCAACTGAGGCTTCACTTGATTCATAAAGAGGCTATGTATGGTTACGGTTAAAATGGCCAATATACCATATCGGTCACAACATGCTTACCTTGAATGTGCGTTCATAAGAGTTGCTGCTGTTTGTCGCTTAGCTCTACCTCTTTCAAGAATGTTGTACACATCATCTTTGTCATGGACTACAAGCTCTTCCAGACCTTGGATGACGACTGAACCCTAAAGAAAAATACACCAAGTGTAAGAATAATGGTGAGTTGGGATGAACAATATTTTAACTTAAGCAGTACTAAAGGAGGCTTGGTAACACTAATCTTTTTTCAATCAGAAAAAAAAACAGCTTTTTTTTTTTGATATTATAAGGCAAGGAGCTGTGGTCTAAGAAAAATTGTGAGGAGCCCAAAGGCTCCTAACCATGAAATCCTGGGTGCCCAGCAATTAAGCTTATATAAAAAAATAAGTTTTTCCAGTCGCCTCAAGACAAAAGTTAGTCGCCTGTGACACCTGGGCACTTCCAGAGCACAGCCCTGTAAGGCCCCATCCACAATACACCTATAAAATAAAGCTGTATTTTTTCTGGCATAGTGTGGACAGGGCCTAAATCTGTTTAGCACCGGCACACTGGTTGTCTGTAATCAAACATCTACAATGTACTGTACATAAGTTATCAGAACCTGACAACAGAACATGCATTGCATGATGGTAAAGGAAATATGAAAGACAGTGGTTATTTATACTATAATTTTATTTTGTTATTGTTCAAGCATGACAAGGTCAGGACTCTAAGAAAGGAGTCTTCAGGTACCAGAATGATATTTTCTTACCTTACGAGTTGAGTCTTCAAAAAGACGCATCTTTTGATTGTCCATACTCAAGCTCAGTAAATCAAATAGCTCTTCATTATATATCTCTAAAAATGAGACTCGGACAGAGAACTCACAGTCCTGAAAAACAATAATTAAAAATTCATCATTTGCTCGTTCATCTCAATTCATTTTTTTTAGCTTTCTGCTTCCTGTTTAACTGAATATCCATTATACATGTATGTATTTTTTTCTTAAAATAGCTGCTGAGAACTGAGTATCAACAAGATCTGAACATTTCTTTTCAGTTTTGCTCAATGAAAACCACACTCCAAGATTAAGCATAAACTTAACTTACAGTTTGACTGTTCAATTTCTCTAGCAACTGATGCATGGTCCGTGGAATGATTCCAGCTGAAGGATCCTAGAATTGTATAAACACAGTGAGAAAAGGAATTCAGAGAGATTTACACGTAGGAAGCAGGGATTTCATCAACTGACAAAGTTATGTAAGGGTGTAATTACTGGTGCAGTATATAAATTTCCAAGTACATTACATGTATATGTTAGTCATTGTTGTTAGCTGTTATGTTTCTAAGGATAAGTTGTTCACCTCTTCCCAAGAACAATCTTCTTGACTTCTCTCTCCTTCCATGGTATATGTCTTCCCTGTTCCAGTCTGACCATAGCTAGAAGAGACAGATTATGCTTAATAAATAACTGCCCCTCTGTGTGGAACATATAAGCACCAAATCAAACGCTTTTAAATTCAAAGGTTTGGAAAGCACCATGTTAAAAGGTACAGTAGAACCCCGCCTTACCACAACCGCATTAATACCACAACCTCGTTATTAAGGTCACTTTATTCTGGCCCCACCAAACACTCAGTCAGTCATTCTCTTATTTAAAGAACCCCTTTAATGTGGGGTTCCACTGTAAATGTACGTAAAATTTAAGACCTGACTTACGCAAAGATTGTACAGTTGTATCCCATGAGAACTTCGTCTAAGATTGGCACAACAACTGAGCGATAAACATCAATCTGTTTGGTATCAGGGGCAAACACTCGATCAAATGTAAACGTCTTTGTTGTTGATGACAATGAGGAAGTGTTTGCAATGTCATGTTTAACAACTATTTCCCGCTTTGCTGGCTGGCACTTGACCACAGATGGCGAGCCTTCTTTGACCTCTTTTCCATTTCGGGGCCTACAATCACAAAACAATAACAATATTATTAAGAGATATCGATTTGGTGCTTGTACTCAGGAGCTGGGAGCCAGATGGTCAAATGAGTGCTTAGAATGTTCATTTTGTTACACTTGGGATCTGACAATGCATGGTCAGAGTTATGAGCCTGGATCCCAGAGGCTTAAATTTTTCTTGTAGAAAAATGTTTTTGTTAGCTCTTTTTGGTTGAGTATGAGAAAAGTTGAAGGCAGAAAATATAAAGTAACATAAAACCTGACTGAAAAGTTCAAAGAAACTGAGATCATAATTGATGCTGATCCTGGATTATGCTGTACCTAGTACTTTTGCAACTAAAGTCTTGATTTAAACTTTGCATTGAACAACTGGTGTCATGTTGTGTGCACTAAGGCACTTGACACTTTTTATTACAGTCACTTTGTCCCATGGTCACTTCACTCCAACCAAATGTTAGATCGCTCCACAATCAAAGTTACCTCACTCCATACAAACGTTGCCTTGCTCCATGTAAGAAATTAATGAAATATTGCCGTGAACTTTTTGTTTTGATGTTGGACTGATTTTGAAGAAGGCCAAGCTTACACGTACGTCAGTTCAGATTATTAACTTAATGCACTTTCCAGCTGTGTTTGCTTACATTTGGTAACACTAAAAATCATTTCATTCAATTATTTTCCTCAACATGAATTCTTATATGTTTTATCATACCTCTCAGTTAGTACGTGAGCTGTGATTGGTTAATTTTGCTGGCCGTGATCTACTGTATGGCCTGCTAAAATTCAAAGCTATTTTGTTGGCAAAATGTTTCGTGATTTATCATCAAGTGTTCTTAACTTTTTTAGCAAATAAAAGTTTAAAACATTCTTTTACTTCTGAAATTCTGCACTAAAACCTACTAATGACTTACGAGTCACTAAACAACGATTTCAAATTGAGTCGTTTTGCGTTCGAGGTACGTCAGAAATTTGAAGCTGTTCCGCGTGAATAGAAGTCGTTTCCGAACCCGTCAGACACACAGTAGAGATGCAATAAATATCCTACTAACCTCGTTTTCTCGATCCGTACTGTAAGTTACGGATCCTCGTTTTTTTCCCCTTCGATTCATGGTCCGCGCGCTTCGCGCTTGGGCTATAAATCGATGGGGAAAAACTTAGTCCGTAACTTACAGTAGGACCCTCGAACTCGGTTAGTAAGAGGTATGTAATCCCCCAAAAGCCACGATATCACACGGTAGGAATACGGGACGAAGTGTCCTTGCTAATTTGTATTGTTATCGGCCCTATAGTTTTGCTTACTCGTGAGAGTCGACAGGTATATAAAACCAGAAAACATGTCTAAAGATGGGTCGTGGATCGAGATGGGCGTTTTGGCTACATATTTCAAAATATATTTGACTTGATTTCACATTTTGCAAGAAACAAAGTGATGGCACAACCAACACAACGCATTAAGTCTGGTGCCATGTTGATTTGATGATTGATAGACGCATTCCTAGCTTGATTTCCAAAGAGAATTCTTCATCAGATTCTTTCATCCAAATAAGCTGTACATATCCCGACCGTATACGGTTTTAGAGCATGATTTATATGTATGTGCATATCTCTTCCGTTTAATCCATTTCTTCATGGATCAATGGATGGCCACTAAGACACGAAATAAGCTAACATAAAGAAGCCTGAAAGGGAGTCGGTAAGATCCTTTGTAGTGTTGAATGTAGCCATTTTGAACTTACCGACACCGAACAACCACTTGAATATTCTTTTCTTGCGGTGCTTTGCTTTTGACCATCTTGATTTCCCTCCTTAAAGAAAAAACAGTCTTGAACTTTAACAGATTTTACTTAAAATGGACGTAGTAATTTTTTCTGATGACAAATTTGCTCAAGATCCTGAACTTCTCGCCTACTCGTTCGATTCGATTTCGGTGCCAGATTTGAACGGTCCAATGAAATTCAACGGCAAACGTCACATGCGGATGAGGTAAAACTTTCCCATAACACATTGCGAAGTTGCAAAATTCCATGTTTTGGTCTTTTTGTGGTCTGAAAGGAGAATAGAAAATTGTGTTTTTAAACCTGTAATTTTCAAATGCTCAGGACATGACTTTTGTATTCCCGTCCATAAATGGCACGGTGAAGCCAAGAGAAAGAAGCGGCCACATAGCGGCTCATTTTGATGGCTATTTAGTCATCTGGGGAGGCTACTACAACGTAAGCTTGCGTATTAATGGGAGGTGGTGTAGATAAGCTAAGCTTTTATGTAAAGCTTGGTAGTAAAGATGAAAAATTAGCGTTGTTAATTAGTTTGTATTAAGTCAGAAATTCGGTGGAATAGGCGGCAAGAATTCCGTTATTATGCGTACAATTTCAAGTCGTGTTCTTATCACGAGTACCGTAGGGGGGATGGAGGGGTGGATTAAGTGTGTAGCTTGAGGCAAATTTTCCGCTTGTTTCGACTATCCAATCCAGTTTAAGCCCAGTTTACCTATGAATATAATATGCCCCATCTCCAAATTAATTTTTACCGTTTACTGGATGACTGATGAGGTTTTATGCGATCTCTAGAACCGTGGTTCCAAAGGCTGATGGTGACACTTACAGATCGAGCTGCATGGATCAATAATTGTTTTATTATAAGCTCTCATAATATTGAAATTATGAAATAAAAATGTAATTAATTTATATGTAATGTAGGTGAAATCAGTCTAATCTGAACACTGAATGGAAACTTTGTTTATTGCTGAAACATTTTCCTTTCCCTCAGTTTTTTGATCAGCTTTTCCATTTATTTTAATACGTCATTTTTTTTTTTGGGGGGGGGGGTACTCCCTTATATGAGCTATATAGGTATGTGCAGCCCCAAAGGGAATGGTTTTTCAGCCTTTGTGGTCATAAATAGGGCATTGATTTAGGCCTTTTTGGTAGTAAATAGGCTATGYTTTTTGCTCTCTAGTCCTGATATGGGCATGTTTTCAAGAAGAAGCCACTGTTTTATCATTATCGAAAAGAAAACCAACAAAAGCCCTTCACAAATTATGTTTACGGCAATTTAACATTGGTCTGAACTACGGAACTAATTATAAGGCAGGTCTGAACCAGGTGTTGATATAAAGGTCAGGTCATAAAAAGCGTTTCCAATTTTTGGTCAGGTCAGAAATAGGGTAGGGAAAATCACAGATTTTGGTCATAAATAGGGTAAAAGTTTTGGGAAGTGGGCTGCACACCCCCACCCAAATTTTCTGGGAGTACCCCCCCCTTGGGTATGTCCTCAGCCTCATCTGTAGATGTTTTGGTGTTTTGTACTTACATCATCCTCATTTGTGTGCTTTTGTAATCGGAAATGGGGTCAATGCAAACCTATTCAAGACAATATAACTGCTGTAGTGATGCAACCACAACAGTGATATACAAATGTAATATTATTATTAGTGATCTACACATTTAACAATTATTTGCCAAAGGCAAAGTGAACATTGGTGAATATTCACCGAGACAAAGTCAAGGTGAATATTCACCAATGTTCACTGAGCCTGAGGCGGATAATTGTTTTAGAATAATTTTCAGAGGTGAATATCAAGGACTACAAAATAACGGACTAAAACATAAAAACACAGACGCAATTGTTCGTGTGCATAAAAGTATGCAGCTGTAGTTTTAATAATAAGCTTACATGTACATCGATTGTCAATCAATTTACTCATCAAGTTCGGCAGTAAAGCAAACAAGCGAAACAATACGAAAAATGAATTCATCTGGTACCTTTGTTTTATCGTTGTTGACTTCATTCACAGTTGTCATCATTGCCTAAAAGTGAGTAGCTTTATTTTGAAGAAAAATAAATTTCGGTCAATCGATCTGACCTGCTGGCGATCAACGTAACCACTGCGTCTACGATTGTTAAAAGCCTTGAATAGGAGTTCTTTAAAAGATTTTTGGTCCAAGGGCAACAGCAGTCATTTTGAAAATTCTCCATCCTTTCAAATATCCTCGACTTGGAGTGATGTCTTTCAAATAAATGAAAACTTCATTCAGCAACTGCCCGCCATGTTTACTTGCCAAGATGACAAAGATGGCAAGCTTAGTAACCAAGCTCTAGCAGGGTGAATATAGCATCATATGATGAGCTTTTTGACCAATCAGAATGTCCCATTCTTATATTTACCTCTGGAAATTATACTAAAGCAAAATATCCAATCATATATCCTAGAACAGAGATGGAGAAAGAAATGTATATTATTATTATTAATGTTATTATTATTAATATTATTTTTATTAATATTATTATTATTATTATTATTGTTATAATTAATCTTATAGTTTGTGATACTGGAGCTGTTTAGGTCATCAAGCTTGTCCTCTTACTGGTAATTGCTGCGTGTATTTTGACCTGTATAGGGAGATCCTGAGGAGCCAGTTCCTGGATTTCATATTGTGCCTGACAAGTATCATCCAAGCAATGAGGTCTGGCTCTACTGCATTGAGACTTCTTCATGGTAATGTTCAAGCAGCTTTTAATACAAATGTTTTGACAAGTTTCTCTTATCTCTTAAAGTTATTGGGAGGCAACTGTATTCTTATAATCTGCAGAGAGATCTAGCCTAGGTTGTTGCCATGGACAGTTGGTGGCTGACACATGTTTGTTCATGAACTTTTGGCTAGGTAAAGTTATTGCGATGTGCTATTGATGACATTGGTGGGTGTGAGGACGATTTTCAGGGGTGAGGAGAGAGATGTATGTTGATGACTAGTCAAAGTCAAACAGTATTCTGCTGCCTTTCAACGTCTGTCAAAAATTGGAAACAGTACAGGTTACAAATTTATTTACTGAGTGCTAATATTTCTTGATGTGTGCTGTTTATTGGTGATATTGTTTGTAGGAAACACATTGAAACAAGTGGAGACACTCCGCCACCCATGTCAGGATCATCAGCTTCTGTTATTGGTGATAAACATATGTACATATTTGCTGGACATCACAGTAGCGGACCTTCTTCCTCAGTAAGTTTCATGTAAAGTAGTAGAGGCCAAGTCACCTGACATTTTCATGGATTGAGTGAATCTTTGAGGTATCCAAAGCAACCTTTGAGAGATGGAACTACTTGGGATGCTAGACTGATGGAAAGTGAAAATTGATTTTCCAACCAAAATACTTTAAGTTTCATTAAAAAGAGTGGCGAGAAATTTATAATTATGAGGCAGAAGTGAGAACAAAAATTCAAAATGATGTTGATTTTTAACTTGTTCATACAAGTGCATGTGCAGTGATTTTGTTACTGTTGAAAAAACAACAGCTAGTTATTTAATTTGTTCAAGCCCCCCTGATTGATTAATTAATGATTGATTATTCTTAAACATATGGGTGAGATTACCTAGCCGGTCATTATCTCTGTGGCAGGTTTTTGTTTTAGATTTAAAATCATTTGTATGGCAAAATGTAACTGGCAGGATAACAGGGACTCCTCCATCAGACAGGGACAAGCTGTGCTGTTGGACTCACAATGATTTGTAAGTGATTACTCACAGTGGTCCTTGACTCCTGGAGTTGTGAAATCATTTTCTGTGTTTTACCAGTAGCCCAAAAAGCAGCATTTTTCATTTTCTAGCTACAACTTGAAGGTTTTAAATATTATTTGATTTTACAGAATATTCTATTTTGGAGGATATGGACCAGCCCCTGACCCTGACAGAGTAGAGGCATGTTGTGGATATTTCACATTTAACACAGGTTCCGAGGAGCAGTTCACTGTAAGTAAATTAACTTCAAGACTGAGCAATTTAGTCCATTTTGTATATTAGCAGGTTATTTCATATTTTGAACAGCTTGATCACGACATGTGGAGTGCTCTTTTATCATTTTGTAAGAGTCATGCGTATATGTACAGTAACTGTTTATTTATTCAATGATATGTTCCATTCAAAACTAAACTGAGCACTGAGGAAGGGTTAGGTCTGAAATGTCCACTATAAAACTGAGTTTAATTTAGCCCTGAAATATGATTATAATTTACAACTTTTGACTGTTTACTGTGCCAGGCAGCCACTGCTCCTTCTGGATTACCAATATTTATGAATAAATCGTAATTCTTAGTGCACATGAATCATAAATGAGTTGATCATGAGGAAGGAATGCCCATTATGTTAGCCTGAAGTAGGACTATTTCAACAAAATGATGTGAACAAATTGTATGGTATTTTTGATATGTCTATTAGGATAACAGAGGATGGAATNGAAATTCCAATCCCTTCTGTCAGGGGAGTATGGATATTTTCTGGAACTGCACATTGACAAAAAGAACAATAATGCACAAATTTTTAATGTTTAATAATAGCGAGGTTAAATTTGTTGGAGTAGATAAGCAAACTTTATGGGCTGGTCATGCACACAATACACATCTATTCAGATATTTGAACATTGGGCAAAGAGAGGTATACAACGTAAAAAGTCATGGTTATGAATAGAGGGATATGACCATCTGTAGATGGTGTATATCACAAACTCATAAATTGACCTGGTCCTAGCTCAGTTAGTAGAGCAATATGCATCAGTATTATTATAGCTCATGGTTTTGAATTCTGTTCAAACCTGACTTTTTCCAGGCTTTAGTTGTGCTACTATCTCTCAAAGTTGTATATTCAGAACTGCAAATTCATGTGGTATAAATACGCATTCCCTGACAGTGTATAACATGCATTAGAACTGCACTGTATAATGCTTGAGGTTTTGATGTAGATGTGTACACCCTTTTCTCTTGTCTACATTTTTTTGAAAAGGTACAGTCCAGTTCCTCAGTGAGAAGATCTAAAGCACAGTCAATCAATTAATTTTGGTGACTATTGTCAAAGCGAGTCAGTGACTACCTTTTTCTTTCCCTGTCAGGTTGTGTGCTGATACAGTTGTGAAGTGTTATTCAACTCTGCAAAAGCAACTCAAGATGCTTCCAAAAAACCTTGTAATGTCACTCTTCTTACACAGACGACTAAAGGCTATTGGAAAGATGTAGATCATATAGAAACACTTGTCGATCACAGTAACACCAAGTGTGATGAAGCTCTGTGATTAAATTCTGTTCCATAACCCTAGGCACAAACAAACTAGGTTGGGTGACAGCACCCATTTCTTCTGTGAGGAGAGGAACAGGCTATGGCATCTCATGCCCAACACCCTAGCAGGCTTGAGTGTATTTCTGGAGTCCTCGACCCCACCCATGGAAGCACCCATTATCTCACCAAAAGTTACTGTTAGTGCAGTAGAGTGGCTAATGCACTGAAGTGGGTGCTTCCCTACAAGGTTTGTTTAACACAATTGTTGGACCAGCACAGCATAATGCAGTAGCCATGTTAAGACATGGTGTCATGGTAAAGGATCAAAATAATAATGGAGTTTTGATGTGCCTGAATTTTGTGATGTTGCTTGTGGTATTGCTGTGCAATATTGTGAATAAAGAATTTTTATGGTATCTAGACAAATGACAATTGTTCAGCATGCTAGTAAATAAACACATAAAGCTACCACTGGATTTAACAAATGTTAAAAGCCACTATGAACGACAAGCTTTAGATTAAACAAATAATTTAACAATTCAAAATAGCAAGTTACATGTTGAATGTAAAAGGTAAATGAAGTCATGTCTAGTTTTGAGAATAAACTATTTTTTATAGTTACTTCAAGAGAGACTTCATCTCACTGCATTGCTTTTGTCAACTGCTCTATGCAAGGAAACATGTCAAGGGAAAAGTGCAGTTTTGTTTTTAATTCTCCTTTTCATCTCTAATGCTCTCAATCACAAAATATATGTGATAATTCTCTCAGTCTATGAAAGGACTTTAATAATATAATTTAGTGGACTTTCCTTATCTTGAGAATACAATTTACTACGGTAACCGGCAGAAGCATGTAATTATGCTTCTGTACCAGTAATAGTTGAAATTTTATTTTGATTCCTCTTTAAACAAAAAGGGCCTTATTCTCTCATTTTTGTGACACCATAATTAGTACTTTTGGTAAGTCCTAGTACCTACCAGAGCTCAGGGAGCAGGTATTCTGTTGTGCCTATCCAGTTCAAATGTGAGCATGTTTTCAAACAGTCCTTTAGAGGGCCTCCTGTAGGGATGGTGGGTGATGCCCCCAAAGCAGCAGGAGCTACCTCCAAATCATATAATATGTAATTTGAAAGCAGTGCCATTGACTTCAAGAATGAGCCTCTTTCATTTCAGAGAACGAGTTCACTAAGTCTCAATCATAAATTAAACAGATTTAACCCTTTCCCAAATGAATATATGTGTTTTCTTCACATATTTGAAATGACAATGCAATGCACTAGTAGTCTTGTCTGCAGCTGAAAATCCTCTCAGTCTGATTAAAACTCCTCTACAAGCTATAAATTAGTGTAATCTCAACCTGTTTCAAAGAGAGTTTTCATCTGACGAGACTTTCAGCTGTAGATAAGAAGACTGCTTTGTGGCAAAACTTTCAGAGTAAAACTTTCATTGAAACTTGGTCTCTCAAAAAAGTGCAAGAACAAGTTTGACTGTCTCATTAATCAAATGTTTTTTATTAATGAGCTGAGACCAAGTCTCAATGTACAGTCAGACTCAATTTGTGCAAAAGTTTTTAATCATTGTTAATTATGTTATTCTTGCATGCATTTTATTGTTCTGAACACCCCTTTTTTAC